GAGAAGTGAATGCTGGATTTCTTTAGGTCGTTTGCTCGAGCTGTGCTTCCTCTCTGATACGGACGCCGTATCCATATCCAGGGCCCACCTCTCACACACCTTGAAAATCTTTTTCAACCCAGATTAGATCTAGTGATAATACTTATAGAATAATTACGCTGATAAGAAAATTCGATCTTTTCGCACTCCAGTGTAGATCTGTCATATCTGCATGCCAGCATGGCTTTATGAAACAACGGTCTACCACAACCAATCCAATGATTCGGTCAATCCTCAATGAGCTGCTTATGCAAAACAGTTAACGACACCCGAAACACTCAAATCATTTGAAGACATCCAAAACACTCATCCCGAAATATGGGTGTTTCAAACACTCCTTTTTAAGCTGTAATGTTTTTGGGTGTCTGTGCAACAGATTAGTTTGTGCGCACAATCGAAATGATCAGTACAAGGCAACCACCCTTTTTTAGGGTGCCGATCACACTCTCAGTGCTGAATACGCATAAATGATTTGTGTGCACTCATTGTTTGGGTGAACCCTTGCCGTTCTCTGGTGTATATCTTAATTTGCCGTGACTTCACTATTCATGCTACGGTCTTAGAACAAAAGTAATGTTAAATAATATTTTAGCTTGAAACATTTTTTGGATGTTGATATGTAATCACAAAAATTTTACTCGGAGTCAATTTCTTTAACCCTTATTCTTTTTAAGTTGGGTAATATATTAAATATAATCGATAGTTTGTAACTTAGCTACATATAGCGCTCCAACTTTTTATATTTACGTCCGATTAAAGGAAAATTCTGAATAATGTTCTCGGTAGTTCTTTCTCGATAAGACAGAGCGTAGTTAAAATAATGTAATAGTGAAGAAAGCCTTTTTGACCCTAAGATTCTAAATTGATTCTTGATCAGGATTAATAGGCGCTTTGATTAAGTCTGTCCGTCTGCCTTTCCACGTGTCCGACCGACTGTTTGACAGTCTGTCCGCATAGGAATATATGATATAAGACGGATACGCAGCTGAAAAAGAGAAAATTTTGATGAAGCATGCATATTTTAGAGATACGACCGTTCCAGTCTTGTGGTGACCCATCCTAACGTCCATAAATCGCGAATAATTGCGGAAACGAAACGAAATTTTTGGATTTAGAAGAACAGAAGACATCGGTTACTTAGTCGTTTTTTCGGTGTAGTAGACCGTTCATAAACGTAAGAAAATTAGAGAAAATCATTAGTGAATCGGAGATAATCAACAGGGGTCTATGGCAGCTAATCGGCGTCTGTCTTCAATATTTTTTTTTCGCGACTCCCGTTGCTTGATGTGCAAACCACCTCCCGCCCAACCGACCGAGATCGTCTATCGTACGGCTGGGTCACGGGGATAGTACCCAGTGAAAAATGTTAAAACAACGAAATTAAGTGTGTGCCAAGTGGCTTAGTAAAGCAATTTTTAATTGTGTAGGAAAAGTATTGGATGTAATGTGGTAGAGGGCATTGTAACTCGAAGGAGAAGAGTTAGAAGTAATTTTGTAAAGATCATTGTAGTTTGAACATAGTACCCGAAATGGTTCATGAAGGGCAAAGTTCGAGCTGCAATATCCCAAGGATAAGGGAATATAGTTAGTATTAGGGCTTGGCTATCAATATCTCCGCTAATAAGATTGTTAATAGAGACAACGCCAAGCATTGTCCTACTGTTAGCAAGGGTCGGTAAGTTTATTATTAATAGTCTACTTTTATAGGAGGGAAGATGTAAGTTTGCATCTGCCGGTCTTGGTGGACCGCGTACTGGGGGTTCCAAACACAAGATCCATACTCTAAGATCGGACGAACGAGAGAGACAAATAAAGTTTTAGTTACGTAAGAGTCGTTGAATTCTTTCGACCATCTTTTTAAAAAACCTAGATAACCTCTGGCTTTGTTAACCATGGAAAATATGTGGTCGGAAAATGTAAGTTTTGCATCCAATAGGAACATTAAAGCGCCGATAAGCTTAATTCTATCAAGGGTTACACCACAAGGTGTATAAGAGGTTATTAAGGGCTTACAGCGACTGAAAGTCATTACTTTACACTTAGAGTCGTTAAGATTTAGTAAATTTGCAGAGTACCAAAATTTAAAGTTGTTTAAATTGAATACAAAGTTTGCAGAAGATGTCTGCATACATTAATATAAAAGTATTTTTTAAAGCGATTGGAAGGTCATTTATGAATAATATGAAAAATAGCGGACCTAAATGGCTTCCCTGAAGGACACCGGATGAAGCATAAACGCGACCAGATAAGACATCTTTAAATAAAACGCGTTGCGTTCTACTAGTCAGATAACTTGCAACCCACCTAAGAAGATCAAATGGGAATCCAATTAAGTCGAGTTTATGTAAATGAAGTGAGTGATTTAAAGAGTCGAATGCTTTACTAAAGTCAGTGTAGATGACATCTGTCTGAAGACTTTTTCGGAATCCAGTGATGACATAAGAAGTTAATTCGACTAAGTTTGTTGTTGTAGACACTGGTGTTGCAAATGGGTCACAATAATTTTCTCAAAGAGTTAAGGAATTGCTGATAATTTAGAGATACTAAGCATACAGCCGGGAATGCCGTCGGGGCCTGGGGAAAAGGTCGGCCCAACACTCTGAAGATCCTGAAAAATACCAGTCTTAGACAGAAAAGGTCGTATGACGAGGTTCGACTGCGGAACACCGTAGACATAAGGCTGCATAGGGGTTGTTGAAGGTGAATATGTGGTTTGAAAAAACTTGGCGAACTTGGGGATGATAAAGATTTTCAGGGCGTGTAAGTGGTGGAACCCTAGATATAGATACGGTGTCCGAATCTGAGATAAAACATAGATCAAGTAACCGACCTAAAGAGTTTTTAACATGGTTAATTTGTTCAAGGGTTATGTCTAACATACCTGCAATAAAATCGTGATGTAAAGAGGATCTTAAGGCAGATGGGTAGGACTTGGGAGGTATGTAAGTAATAAATTAAAACCTACTAGGAAGCGAAAGTTTAACACAAATGAATTCGATATCACCGAATTGAAGATTAATCTTTTCGGATACGAGTTTAGAGTCTACAGAAGTCAACACTCCACCCCGGATCCGAGTGATCGATCAACATACCTACTCGGAAAAATTTCAGAGCTAAGATCTTTCGAAACTAGCCATGTTTCGGTAAAAACAATTATTTGGATGCAAAAGAAAGATTCTCAGAAAACAAAGTAGAAAGTTTAGTACGAACCCCCTTGTGTTCTGATAGGAAAGAAGGAGAGAAGATGTTAGTTGCTCAGTGGCTTTTGTTTGAGGGAGTTTTACCGCCACAGGTCGATTAATTTTCATTTATGACCCGTTGGATGTTCTTGGACGAAAATTTGATCCGGTCAGAACTTGGTTGAGCACATTTTGTCAAATTCGACCGAGGGGACGCGTATCTTAAAAAATGATACTTTCTTATTATAATGATATTTAAATAGACCGTTCGGCAATACGTTTGCCTCAGACGTATCATCGGAAAGCCGGGAAACGAAAATATGTTTCTCATATGGGATTACCTTTAGGGGCTTTGGTATAGCAGGTTCTAATCCTGCACTGCCAGTGCACGCCGGTAGTCCGGGCACGAAATTCCCCTGCAGTGTGTCGGGGGGGTTGATGTTAATGGAAATTGGCTCTATAGAAGCCAGTAAGCTTGAAGCAGACAGACTATCTTAACGAATTCATAGCAGAAAATTCGGATGCCGACTTTTTCGTACTCACCGGGGGGTGTTCCAAAAAGCTGCGGCGACACTTCAGTGTTCTGAAGGTAAGCAGTGGGAGAGAGAAGGGAACTAGAGATCTGCGGCACACATGAGTTTGATTTTTTAAGCTTTGGAGACTCATTTAACAATTGGACATTATTAAATTGGGTGTCCAGCGCCGTGAGCAAATCGCTTGCTTTACGAAAAGCGATCCTATTTTCCTTTGAGTTCCCCGACAACTTTCACAGTAGTAATGTAAGCCGGAATCGCCTCGGGCCAAAACGTCCGATACGGTGGCAAGAAGATTGGCACATTTGGCATGAACCACATTATCGCAATGCCAACACAAAACGCTCGGCTGGTTTGTTGTGATTATTTTATTACCATATTTTATATAGCAAACGATTTCAGACATATTAGGAGGAAATTATTATTTTGAAACACTATTTAATCGAACAAAGCCCACTATGGGAGAACAGAAAAGAAGAGAGAGCTAAGGGAATAGAATAAAAACAAGATAAGTTTTAGATATGCACACAATAAGAAGGGAGAGGAGCGGAGGGAATAAATTAAAAACAAGATAAGGTATAGATAAGCACACGAGAGAAGCACGAGCGGGAGAAGAACCGTTTAATTGCGAAAGACTACAAATAAGAGAATGTAAAAACAATTTAAGTAATTTGAGAGTATAAACAAAACACAAATGCTACACAGCTTAGTTCACTGCGCGGAAGGCAAACTGATGAATTGTATATTAAAACAAATCTAATTAAATTAATATTCACAAATAATCAAGCTAAGATAATCGAGAGAAGAAAAATACGTCCGTTCGCTTCGAAGTGAAAAGTGATAGTGATAGTTTGTTGCATTATTTTATTTGACAAGAAACTCAAAATTTTGGCAGACTTTACGAACATAAATCTTTTGATTTGTTTATTAGTGTAAATTTTTTTTGGGAAAAGACCTATGGTCAACCGATAATTTAGGTTAATTATAAAAATAAACATCAAAAAAAGATTACTAAAATAATTCGACAGTCACAAAGTCAGTCAAATCGCTAAATCGCTAGCAATCCGTTGACTCAACGAAGTTATCAAAATAAATACAAACTGCTATAGGAACTATGCAACCTGGAAAATAATTGACTCCACTTGCAAAATATACTTTCATTGTTTCCTTATATAAAAACATATATCACTGACAGGAAATATATGCGAAAAAACGTGATGTCCTTTTATAAATGTTTTCTAATTTCTAGGCTATGAGAGCATTTATTGAATCAAACTTCAAGTTGCTTGACATAGACAGCGATGGAATAGTTGGAGTAAAAGAATACCGTTATAACTGTATCACTAGGGTAGCCATCGATGATGTCACACCAATTGATAAAGCCTTCGAAACATTGTTAAACGTAAGTCATTATGAAGATTTAAATGAAAAAATCAAATAAAGAATATATTTTTTCCAGGATGAAGATAGGAAACGTGGAGGTCTTTCATTAGATCGCTATAAAGAACTCTATGGTCAATTTTTAGGAAATACTGCTGATAACCATCCAGCTGTAAACCTTTTTGGACCTTTATAAATTACATATTACATTTAATTGTCTTCGCTGTTGTTCAACTACTATTTTTTAAGTTTTATTTGTAATTACTATGACTTTAAACTTACGACCATATAGAAATAACTCATTCATAACATTTTCTGTAGAATCGTCAGATGACCAGAACCTTACTTTTAATGTTTTATAATTAGTTAAGTACAATTGCTCTCAGAAATTTTAAATACGTTATAATATTAACTTGCTTTTCTTTACAGGCTCATAAGTTATAAGCCTCTCTCTCAGCGCCTACTAGATTACGTACTAATGTTGGGTTTAATAAAAGATACATTAAAACATTTTAACGAAATCAATAAAAAAAATTTGTTAAACAATTTTACTCTTTTGTTTAAGTTATTGAAGGAAAAAGTTTGCAGTTGACAATAACCTCAAAAACTTGACTAAATGTTATATATGAAATATAAAGATCGATAAGAATTCTTTGCGGAGTAATTACGTATTCCCCGCCGTTGTTTCCCGTATTTGGCCTTCCTAATCATTCATCATAATAAACTTGTCTTTATATATGTATTATAAAGATCAGTTTGAATTTTTTGCGGAATAATTATGTATTCCTCGCCGTCGTTTCCCGTATTTGGTCTTCCTATTCATTAATCATATGAGTCAAGCCCATTAAAAAAATTTGGTAGGGCGCAATATACAGACAGTGGTCGGAGGTATTTTTTTCGCGCGATTCCCGTTGCTTGACGGGAAGTCTATGGATAAAGACGACACCAAGCATCGTTTTACGATAAGCAAGGCATGGTAAATTAATTAGTAAGAGTCTACTTTTATAAGAAAGTTTATATCCCAGTTTAGGCCACGCAGAGCACATATTAAAAAGTTTTTTGGATGGATTCAATAAGAAACTGGTGATGGGGTTCACCACTGGGGGTCTCAGATATATATAACCAAAGAAATGAAAAGTGTTTTGGTAACATAGGTTAATTGCGTTGACAAAAAACTAGTTTTGTAACAAGTAAGATGACAGGACCTTAAACTGCATTAATTCACCATGCAGGGTATAAGTGGCTGCCTGAGGTTTTAGCCGACAAAAAGTCATTGCTTTGCACTTAGAGGCATTAAGATTTATTGAGTATATTGCAGACAGAGTTTGATATCATCTGCATACATGAGTGATAGGGAGTCGTTAAGAACCAAAGGAAGGTCATTAATGAATAAAGTAAAAAGTAACGGATCAAGAAGGCTCCCCTGAGGGACCCTGGAAGAAGGGTAGACTAAGGCAGTCACTGAATTTTTAAAAAGATCTCGTTGCGTTCTATCAGTGAGGTAACTGCGAATCAAACGCAGGAGATCCGTAGGAAAACCGATAAGATCGATTTCTAAAAGAAGGCTGTGAATTACGGAGTCAAATGCTATACTGAAGTCAGTGTATATGACATCCGTCTGAAATTTATTTTGGAAACCAGTGATTACGAAGGATTTTAGTTCCTAAAGATTGGTTGTGGTAGAGTGTTTTCTGTTAAATCAATGCTGGCATGAAGATATGACAAATCTATATTGGTGTTACAAGTGAGTAACAAGCATTTTTTTGATATGTTTCGGAATTGCTTATAGTTTAGATATACCTCTGGTTTTTTTGAGGATACCATAAGCGTAAGTCTGTGCGGTAGTTAACAAAGGTGAGTAGTTTTGCAAAAAATCAGCAAAAAGATCGGCAATGTCCTGATCTGTACTTGCAACAGATTTTCCAAATGATAGCAAAGACGGAAAGGTTTTAGATTCACCCTAATTGCATGGCCCTAATATGCACGGCAAAGTTAGAACGATCCACCATATAATGCAAATAACTGTCATTGCTAAAAGTTCTTAAGTATTTTTTAAAGAGTCTTAACTTGATATTATTAGGTTAGAAAGGTTCCTTGTACACCAAGGGGGCTTATCTGCCATAGCCGGATACCGCATCGGATGAAAGGGATCAAAAATTAGGTTAATTGTTCTATAAATTATATCTAAAGTAGTTAACATATCGGTACATACGTAAAAATCGGAGCAGTCAAATTATGAAATACAATTATTATTTTTTTTTTAAATCCGCTTTTCGAAAGCATCGAATTTTTAGCATAATTGTTCTTAGGCTTAGTACGTAGTCCCATTTCGAACACAAGATCTAATGTGGGATGATAAGCATTTTCAGGGTGTGTGAGAGGTGGATGGGTATGGATATGGATACGGCGTCTGTATCAGAGAGAAAAGACAGATCGAACAAACGACCTAAAGAATTCCCAAATTTAATACTTATACAAGAGGAAATGCTAAAGCCGAGTGCCACGATTATAAGATACCAATTACTATTTTACACAATTTTAAAATATATATTTTGCTAGTGGAAATTCCCCAAGCGTCACCTATTGTCGGAGAAAGCATTTTGAGTCACTGATAGTGACGTCACTGCTCATTTGAGGCCTTTAACCTAAATTTCTTCATAAATTATGTTCCGATTTGAAAAATCTTTGGAAATCGATAGATATTGACAAAAATATGTTATACATGGTCAAACGAAGAAAAACACTATAATATAATGCGCGCCACAGTTTCCACGGTTTGTGGGCGTAAAAGTGGGCATCGCTGGATAAAAATTAGAGGGCATGTTGCAGTGGCATCTTTTAAAAACTTATTCTTAGGAACAACTTTCTAGCCTTTATAGTTCCCGAGAATTTCTCATTTTTGGTGTTTCGGGTTTTGTTGGCATTAGAGTGGGCGTGGCTTGATCGAAAAAAAACATTTCGCATAAGGGGCATTATAAAAACCCACATGCTTAATCCGAACTTTTTTATCTTTATAGTTATCGATATATCAGGTTTTCTTGAAAAAGCGAAAACCGTCTTTTGAGCTTGGTGGGCGTATGGGAGGGTGGTCGGATAGTCGTGCCACTATAAGATGCGCTGGAATCCATATATTATACATACTCAATTTCAACTTTTTAGATCTAATAGTTCCTGAGATTTCAGCTATTTTAGTTTTTCGTGATTTATGGGCGTTAGAGTGGGCGTGGAAGAATGCTGAAATAAACTTGCGGTGTCTAGGGACCTCATGCTTAATCTAAGCTTTCATACAGACAGCCGGACAGATGAACATGGCTCAATTGACTTTGCTTTTGATCCTGATCAAGAATATATATACTTTATAGGGTCGGAAACGCTTCCTTCTATCCGTTGGATACTATTCAACGAATATAGTATACCCTTTTATTCTACGAGTAACGCGTATAAATATACAAATAAATACTTGTGGAAACTTTACTCTCAAAGGGCGGATATTTATACCCGTGCCAGAAAAATATATGGAAATAGAAATAGGGAGTTAGGTGCGAGACAGAGAGAGTGTTAGCGAGAGCTACAAGGCGGTATAAGAGAGTACAATTGAAGAAAAACAGTGTAAGTGACGGAGAAAGATTGTGTTTTCGAGAGCTATAAGCCGGTGGGAGCTGTTGTGTTAGAGAGGCAAGCAGTATAAGTTCCGTTACTAATAGCACAATTTACAAGTAGCACAATTCTTGTAATTCGTTTGCAATAAATGTTTTATGTCAACGAATAACAATAATGCAATGCGCGGAATCGAATACAGTTTAAAATTTGAAGTCTATTAAGTTATCAGAGCAAAAACGTTGTGTTCGGGATAAAATACAAAGATTATAAATCGCCCGAGAATACGCAAAAGCTAAAATACGACCGTTTGCTTTAAAAGAGAAGGGATCTAAGTGACTTAGGCCAGACTGTATCAGCGTAAACCAAGAAACTCTCTGAATTCACCATTTGATTCTTTAATAGACCAGCGCAGGATCACTCCGATATTCCGTTCCGTCCGAAGTTCCACGAAAGCACCATTTTTATTGGGGCTGGTATTTTGCCTTCCTTACTTCTGAATGGTTCAAGAAACATCATTTGTGGGTCTTTACTCGGTCTAGAGGCCAGTTTTCGGTTTCCTGGTTTTACGTCGCAGTAATAAAATGTAAATTGGCCAGTTAGTTGGCTGGCTTAATGTAGGTTGATCTTCATTCTACTGCTGTCTGGTAATGGGTCGAAGCGGGCAAGCGAGGTCGTAGATGACCTCTTGGCCTCCTCCCGTTGTCGAAAGAGAAGTGAAGTGTTTTCGTTGAAATCATTTTTTTCTAGAACGCATTATTTTTCTGTTCAATTATAATATGTCACTTTCTCATAATAAATTAAGGACCATCGGCCGCACCGAACTCATATTTTAGGTAATAACCTAGATTTTCTTTATGTGTTATAATTTTATCGATTTTTTCTCTAAAAAACAGAGGTATATTGGGCGGAAACTTTTTACACTAGATAAAATGTTCTCGTTAAAAGGCATGCAACAGGTTGAACGAAGCGTTCCCTATAAAGTCTGGTGAACTTGATATTCTAAACCACACATAGCTGAGAAAAGGCTGTGCGGTTAACAAGTTATGAAAGCTTTAATTTTTCTTTTTAAAACGTCTGCATATATTTATACCCTATACTCGTAGAGTAAAAAGGTATACTAAATTCGTTGAAAAGTATGTAACAGATAGAAGGAAGCGCTTCCGACCCTATAAAGTATATATATTCTTGCTCAGGAACAATAGCGAAGTCGATTGAGCCATGTCCGTCTGTCCGTCCGTCCGTCCGTATGAACGCTGAGATCTCAGGAACTATTGCAGATACAAGGTTGAGATAAAGCAGGTCCCTGGACAGCGCAAATTTATTTCAGCATCCTGCCACGCCCACTCTAACGCCCACAAATTGTGAAAAACTAAAATCGCTAAAATCTCGAGAACTATTAGAGCTAGAAAGTTGAAATTCAGTATGTATAAACTTTGGATGCCAGCGCCTCTTTTAGTGCTACTATTATCTGGTCACACCCACCCATACGCCCACCAAGCTCAAAAGACGGTTTTCGCATTTTCAAGAAAACCTGATATCACGGTAACTATAAGTGATAGAAAGTTCGGATTAAACATGTAGATTCTTATGATGTCCCAAATGCGAATTGTTTTTTTCCCATATAGCCACGCCTACCCTAACGCCTACAAACTCCGAAAAACCAAAAATGCAAAAATCTGGGGAACTAAAGAGCTAGAAAGTTAGGCTTAAGAATACATATTTTCGGTTTGCCACTGCAACTTCTTACGAGTTTTTATCCGGCCACGCCCACTCTAACACCTACAAACCGCGGAACAATGTGGTGAATATAATAATAATATGAATGCCTTCGTTTGACGTTTTATAATATATTTCTGTTTATATCTATCGATTTTTCAAATCGGAATATTATTTCGCTACTTATTAAGAAATTTAGGTTATAAGGCCTCACATGGGCAGTGACATCA